AAATCTTGGTTCTGTTTGATTAACAATTAATTAATATCGGACCATTTTACGAAAATAGTGACGGTATTCATTTAAAATATCGACGATATTTCCGATTATCGATAAAATTAAATTTTATTGAATCAGGTAGGAGACAGTGTTCAAATTGTCAAGCAAATTGGCAACGAGTTTAGATTTATGAAATGGTTTGCAATATATGCGTATATATTATTCGTGGAATTAATCGGTCGGTTTAATTGTAAATTAAATATTTCCAAAATACGCGATTTCTTTAAATTTTGAATCACTTCGATTTCGATCTATAATATACAGTAAATGACAAAGAATTAATTGAATCATGTTTTAACGAATACACACGCCATGTATGATTTATATAATCTTTATAATGAAAATGCAAAACAGCTTGAACTATTATCACAGAATTAAACGAATAATTTTATCAACTTTATCAATGAAACCGAGCCGTAGATTGGAACGTTTAATAACACATTTTCTTGTCCATAACAGGTTTTCCTAAAGAAAATGCAATGTAACCGTGGAAAAATTTTAAATTGCGAATTAATCGCTTCATTTAAATATTCATTCGCGTACGTGGATCGAGTAATTTATTCTTTTAAGCTCGTTTTTTTTTTTTTTTTTTTTTTTGCTTTATTTATGAATTTTTAATACACCATACACAGAAAGCGAATTTTAAATGTATATTATACTAAATACATTTCAATTAATTTCTAAATATACATAAATTTATCTTATTTCGTTTTATTTAGTTATGTCTGAAATCGTTCAATTTATCATATAAAAAATTTTCTATCTAATCAATCAATGAATAAAATAGATAATATCTATTTTTCTGCAACGATTAAGCTATTTGAAAAGAATTATTTTTCACGGGGGGAGGAAAAAAAAAAGAAAGAAAAAAAAAATAAAGCAGAAAATACGTACATCCTTTGTTCTCGAGAAAATCGATTTTCTGGATACGTGAGATACATGTGTTTGACTAAAAATTCGGTTCAATGAATATCACTGGAAATGTCTATTATGTTTATAGTTAATACGGTGTGTACGTGTAGATTCAGCAACCTGTCACTAAAAATATCGTCCCCTTCAGTAAAAATATCGAGGATCTTTTATAATTAGGGAACGAGAGAGTTATTAAGATGCACAAACAGTTAGAAATTCAAATTATGCTAATGATGCACTCGATTCACATTCTCGTCTTGTAAAATCGCTGGTGCGATAAAACCTTGTCAAAATTATTTAAATTTTAAACGTTTGATATCTGGCTCTTAACAGCTGTTTAATTCATAGGGATACATTTTATTTATGGGACGAACAATTTTTTTATTCAAAAAAAAAAAGAAAAAAATGAAGCACATACTAAAAACATCTATACGATTATAATGAAATGTACAATTTTATAGATAAGATATAATAATTAATTGACAGAGATATTTATATATTGTATTTGTATTGTAGAAATAATAAAATAATTGATACAACAAGTTTCATTAACTACAACGAGTCACAGACAAGTACACCGTGACTCTGTGTATTTAATTTTTATTTTCACTGGGGACGACTTATTTTCTGTTTGTACTACTTGCACTTGTAAGAGAGTCGAAATACTTGTCCAGAAAGTTTATAACACTGTCCAGACATTTTGTGTAACAAACTATCTCAATAAACAGAGTTCTATTAAACTATATACACGAACGTTGGAAGATGTCACGAGCAATTAATATATTTCGGCTACTCTACAATCCGTGTAACCTATATATATATATATATTATATTATATCAGACATCGAGAGCACACGCATCTCGATTTTCCAATGTTCCATTAATTTCTGCGATAAATTTATTGTAATTTTGTTAAAAATTGAACAGCATCTTTGATCTTTCGATCATCGATCTGTTTCGTTTAATTTAACGAATTGCGTTTTTTTTTTATTACGTTAAAAGTTCAACTTGCCTTCCCCGAATATGTCCAGCTTAATTTCATTCGATTCATTGAATTATTTCGATTGAAACGTTGCTCGATATACAGTTACAGTTGTGATTCTTTTCTCATGA